GGACGGCTAGCGCAGATAGCCCTCGTGTAGCTTTGCGCGAAATCCATAACAAACAAACAAGCTTTGGCCTTAAGATATTTTTTCTTACTAGTAACTAAGCATATTTACTTGCCCAAACAGATTACGAAAACACTTACACATCTTATATAATACGTTTTGTTAATTTTGTAATATGTTTTGTTGTGTCACATGGGTTTCCATCGACCCATATATCCCAGATAGTGATTTTTGATAATAGAATTAGCACAAAGGATCACATATAAAGTGTGATAGACTTAAAATAAGACCCAAAACTCGAGCTCTTTCGAATAGTTGACTATTCTTTGTCCTCCTGAAGAAGAGTAGTCAACTATTCGAAAGCGCTCGAGATTTGGGTTTTATTTTAAGTCTATCCCAGATAATGGATATGCTCATAAATAGAAAGGGTAAAATAAGCCTCATCTATCCAGTGCATGTATTATAGCCAGTTTCCCTCAAATTCAACATGTGTCATGATCTCCAATACAAAATATTTATGGTGTTCACATTCATGTACTTTTAATTCCTAAACATGTTGGATTGTGTATGGAGAATAATGCACAAATATCTACACAGACATTTGAATATGATAAACTTGTTTAAAGTACCACATCCTAGACATTGCTTACTCCATGGAAGAGGCATGCAGTAAATGTTTCAGTGATATGTATCACCTTCAAGATAATATTCACTGATGTTTGCGGTCAACTTTCTAACCAATTTGCTAACAGAAACAGCTGTGTAAACCTCTGTATTATATATACTTTTTGTTTATGATAGTATGCACAAAATCCTTCCTTTCGTCGGTATTGTAGCTATTGTTGATACTACGATATATTGTTCTCTAGCAATACAATAACAGTCATCACTTTCATCAAGCGCTCATCAATCAGTCAGGGTGTCTTCCCTTGTTCTGAAGATCAATGACTATGATTCTCCATTGTTCTCTATTCCTCGCTATGATGAGAAACTCGTAGAATTTGAAATATATCTGAAGAAATGGGATATCCTCAAAACTCACCAGAGTTATCTCTCTGTTGTAACCTAATTATGATGCTGAATTGTTCGCCCATGAACTTTTGTAGTTTTGTATTTGGACAAGTGTACAGTTTGAGAAGCTACGTTTTGCTGATCTACATTCAACCTGCAACTACTTTACCCTTACGAAACTTCAACTAATGCTCAGCTTCAGTTCTATTGCCTACGCTAACGCTATCAATCATTATTACGTCAGTACATTTATTTAGAATGTGTTTAGTTATGCTGGAATTATTCCAAGGTCTTACTAAAGTACATTTTATACAAATGGATGGCCACCTAGTGATGGAATCTACGTATTATTCTGTACAGGAAGAATACTTGACCTTGTAAGCAAAACAAAACAAAAAAAACAAACATTTTACTTCTTCCTCTTGAGAAATATCCTTAAAATTGTAATAAATTATCACAGATCTGCTCAAGAGAACTAATAACTTCTTAGCCATATGCTATTGAAATATTGTAGTAGAATTGACGTTCATTATGTTTTAAAGCGTTACTTAGTGCAACCAAAACTGAGTCCCAGTTACACATCAACAAGTTTTAAATGCAACTCCCAGTTCTTTGAAATGTTTATTGAACATATAACCTATAAGCAGCTTCCGTCCCTTTTTTTTTAATAGCATACACGATTTCATCTTGGTAATTTATCAACCTAATTTCATTATAAAAACTTTCTTATATAATTTGATCTTTCTTCACATTTAAGATGTGCCTCTGCAGTTTTATTTCATTTGTTAGTTTTGAGTTTTCTTTTTCTTTTTACTATTCTTTAAGATATTACTAACGTTATTAATGCAATAACATTTACTTAGAATGACCCTTACCTTACCTTATTTTAGTCTGATTTTATTATAATCTTACAAAGACTAACAAAAGCTTTGTATTCTTCACGATATAAGATTCACTACAAACTATTAATATGAGTTCTGACTGTATCACAAGTTTCGTCAATACAAGCAGACAGTGGACAATAATTTAATAATCTCAATAAAAACAAAGAAATACAGAATGAACTGTAATGTGCTGATGCTCTTTTTTTTTCGACATCAGTAAGTTGATGGGAAGATACATTACTATTGGTATTATCAAACGTATTTGTAAACAATAGGCTATATTCAGAAAAAAAGGGCTTTTGTTATAGTTCTTTAACTTCCAGAAATAAACAAACCGTTTCTCTTTACTTTGATATCTATAATGTAACTCATATCGACACATAAGAAATAATACCATAACGTATTATTGGACATGAATGAAGCCATATTCGGTAACAATGTTCATAATATATATATATAACTAGAAACACTTATAAAAATTCTTCATTATATGTCATTATTAATTTAAAT